CCCTGAAACTATTGACCTAGGAGGGCAAGGAGCAAAAAGTGTCCTTTATGTCCCTCTGACCAAATTAGTATAGGCCTCAAAGTCTGTCTGTTAAACATCCAAGAAGGTTAGTTCCACCAGTGTGGTACTTTTAATTACCGTGTGTCATGCAGATAAATCTTGGGCAAAGGCCAATTGTTCTCAGATAAACCTTACCTAGACATATATTTCTGGATCTGCTATGTATAATTTCTCAGTAGGTTGTAGGAATAATATAGTTCCCTCTGGTTTTTAAAAGTATCTAGGCATTATTTATCTCTCACATTGTCTCACCCCTCCATCCTGGTTTTCCCACTTAAGGTGCCCCCAGTTCCCCCCTTTCTTCCTTACTAATACTCTAGGATCCACATATGAGGGAGAACATATGTCGATTTTTTTTTTCCTGAGCCTGTGTTACTTCAATTAGTATAACAGTTTCTGGTTCCATCCATTTACCTGTAAATTTCATGATTTCATCTTTCTTTACTGCGGAGTAAAACTCCATCGTATAAATGAGCCACATTTTCATTATCCACTCGTAAATTGAGGGACCCTTAGGTTGCTTCCGTCTCTTAGCTATTGTGAAAAGAGCAGCAACTGCTGCTCTTTTCAAAATTTTTATTTTTTAGCAATGTATGAGAACACACAAATTAGACTGTTTCTTCCTTCCAACTTCTTTTGAAAAGGCTGTGGGCATTTTCTTTCACCTTTTACCTCAAAATTAGCATAGAAACTATGTTGCACAAGAGAAAGAAATTATTCCTAACATTTTCCCACACTGTATACTGCAGAGCTCTTGTTCAGCATTGTAGAGCATGTTATATGGAAATTTCTGCTTCCAAATAAATGTGAACAGCATTGAACTTGTTCATGAGCTTTCTATATTCTTAAGAGAATAACCTGGGATCGTTCATTCTTCGATTACTTTTAAAATAAATCTATTTTCACTTAACATTTCATCAGAATTATTCACAAATTCTATTTCAAATGCAGAGTCACAAATTATAGTCAAGAATCAGGAAGGAAGAAAATGGGAAGAAAAAGTTCTGTTTTAGTCCTTATGGGCTAAAATCATTGAGGTTAGTTTATAAAGTATTTCATTTACATATAGAAAATCATGTAAAATTCGATAAAAACTGAAAATTGGAAAGGCGTAAAGCATATCTAGGAATGAGAAAATGTGAAATACAGGCATAATTACCACACTAAGGGGCTGGGAGGGTGACACTGTAACCACATCAGTAGTTCTTGATTGAGTTGTTCATCAGATGGCACATGGCAGCGTTGTCAGCAGTGAGGGACCTGACGCAGGGAGATCATGGGTTCCAGGACAGTTTGGGCTATATGGTGAGTTTGATACTAGAATAAACTTTTATCTATTGTGATTGCTGTCATTTTTCCATTTATTGAATAAACAAGTGTCATTTTACAGATTTGCAAAATGAAATAGATTCAGTTGTATATTACAGTAAGTTGCATTGCTATTCTCTTGGTGTTTTTAAAGAAAACTTGCTAAAATATTTTATTATCCTCTGAAAATAACTTGTAGACACCTGGAAAGTAGCTGTGATTCAAGACATGCCACCATGCCTAGTTTGTTTGATATTCTTTCATTTTTTTGGTCTTTTTGAGACAGGTCTCCCTGTAGCCCTAGCTGTCCTGGAACTCATTATGTAGACCAGGATGGCCTTGAACTCACAGAGATCCACCTGCCTCTGCCTCCCGAGTGCTGGTATTAAAGGCGTGCGCCAC